AATCTGGGGTCATTTATAGCCTCTCACAAGTCCAAAAATTTCTTGGCGATGAGGGGGACTCCACCCCCCTTCAAACCCCCCAAACAGAAGAGGGCACATCCCCCTTCTGGCAACCCCCTCTTTTGGTTGGGGGGCCGCGCCAAAAAAGAGGTCACTTTTTTTAACAACATTGCTCAAACAAAAACAAGTGTTGGGGGCCTAAATAAGGCATTTTTTCACCATTTGAGACAACAAAATGGGGGGGGGGGTGTGTGAAAAAGGCGTTAAAAGGCGTGTATATAACGTAATGGGTTAAGAAACCTTTTCAAGGCATTCATAGATTTAACATGGCAGCTCATGTTTGTATTAAAACAAAGAAAAGAAGAAAAATTACTCACTTGCTTTATTACTATAGTTTATAATAATTGAATTTTGTCCCTTCGAATTGTGTAACCTTTTTGTATATCAAAGTTACATTTATGATTATTATTTAAGGCTTTAAAACTGCCGATGAAATTATGTGTATTATTATAAAAATAAATTTTTAACTTACTTTGAAAGTTGGATTGGATATTATCTTGTGAAATTACCAAACCATTGTATTGACTTTCTGTTCGACAAGAAATGTGGAAATTTACTTTTTCATTTCCTCATTTTGTTTTAAATGAAAATATGAAGGGGAAATAACTCTTATAGTACATTTCCTGTTATAAACTTAAATTTGATTATTGCCCCTTTTATAATAATCAATAGACGGAACATAAATACTAGACTCAATATACATGTATATAAAAAGTTCTATCTATTTAACCAATAAAGAAATTGGTAGGACAACATATGATATGAAATTATTTAAAGACTATTGCATGTACAATCATACTCACAAAGATAAATAACTATAGAGTAATCTCCTCTTAAAATGATATCATTTAGCAGGATATGCTGCTAATATAATGATGCTGTTGGCACGATAGCGATCATGAGTCTTGTTTTCAAATTGGTTTACCTTTTGGAAATAACAATATAAATATGGCAGTCCCCTGAATATTGTTTTAAAGGAATTTTCGTCAGAAAATTTACAGGTAGATAAAAATTGTTGTTTTTTTTTCAGCCATAGGCAATCTTAAAATTGTGGAAAACACAATTTATTCAGAAAAAAATGCTTATTGTTTTAACAACTGACATAGTTTTCATAATGCTTACTTTGGTATGAATATTGTGCATTGATAATTAGCCCGACTTTTTTTTGTCAAATTTTGACAGTCATGTCAACATTGCAATTGCCATAGCTGTACGCAGACTTTAACCTTGATCATAACTTTTTAGGTTCTTTGTGTATTGTCTTCATACTTGGTCACAACAACCCTTGGGACAGAACATTCAAGTAGACAAGACTAACCTTGACCTTCATTCATAATGACTTTGACCTTAAAGGTTAAATGTCTAAATTTTCCTTGTTTTTTTGCTGAATAAGTAGAGCTATACTAGTCACAGGAGCATTGGCTTTGATGTAACCTCTTATGTTTAAGTTTGCGTACCACCTCAAATATAAGTCCATTGACATATGGCTTTGAAGCTTTGCACACTTGTTCACCATCATGCCCCCAACCTGTTATCAAATTTGTTCAAAATAATTTGATTGGCCCGTTTTGGGGCCAAATAGAAAACTTTTAAACATGTTCTATTGAAGAAATACACTTTAAGCTTATCTTTATTTCTATCAACAGTTCACCACATTTAACCGCTATACATTTCAGGACTTTGTTGGCCAGAAGAAATACACTTTAAGCATATCTTTATTTCTATCAACAGTTCACCACATTTAACCACTATATATTTAAGGACTTTGCAATGGCCTGAAGAAATAGACTTTAAGCATACTGTATCTTTATTTCTACCAACAGTTCACCACATTTAACCACTATACAGGGCTCATCCGGAAGCAAACAGGACGTTTCGGCCACAAACCAAATCGGCCCCAGTGGAAAAATCGGCCCCTGGTCGTTTCGGCCCTTTTCCGCGAGACGTTTCGGCCCTACTATATAGTACAGACAATTAATTAACAACAATTAATTTAATTACAATTAAACAATTTTGACACTTTAATTCTTAATTAAATAATTATTTATTATCTTTTGATCTCTTGAACCATTTAGATATAGTTAATGTTTTTTTTTTAAATGTGTAACAAACAATAAAGGCAGGTTAATCCTTAATTTATAAATCAAACCACTAAAACTTCTTGATTAAGAAAGTTAATTACAATTATTCCTTAGAAAGCATTATTTTTTTTATCTTAATTAAACTATAGGCCTACGTATTTTTTTAAGGTGTAACTAATTAACTGTGTATAGCTTTATGTAAGTAATATCAGAGAAAACTTCAAAAGATTTAAAAAAAAAAAAAAACGTTTTGCTATAATCTCCTGAATTATTGTTATTAGATAATGATAGATGCTAGATGTTATAAAAGTGATTGAAAGACTGAAACCAAATTATAAATGCTATGTACCTGCTATATATTTATTAATTAGTTTAATCAAACAATGTTGACAGTGACAAAAGAATTATAGATATTATGGCTTCTGTTTTCTTTTCATTGTAAAATTACATGACCGAATGTTTCGATTTTCACGTGCATGAACAACTAACTTTCCTTACCTGATAATTAAATGTGTTAGATTTTTCAATATCAAGGAAATAATTACGAGTAGCTATTTATTGTGATATATTTATAAACATTGAAGTTAACATTAAATGCAACAAGTATCTAATCGTTGATGGTTTGGTAAAGATTTAATATTTTATGTAAAATATATAAGAGGTATCGTAAATCTTTCAAGGTACTTGGAAATTGGCGTTCCACTTCATGAAAATTGTCATTTTTGATTATTATAACTATGAAATTTTAATATACCGGTTTAAAACACAGTACTTATTCTGGGGCCCATTTGGTAAAGGGCTGAAACGTCCGGGGCCGAAACGTCTTGGGTAATTTGGGGCCGATATGTCTTGGGGCCGAAACGTCTCGAAATCATCCGGAAGGGCGATTCAGGCGAAAACTTCGCCGTGTATATTCCAATTTCGCTCTTCCGACTGATCAAAGAGAATTCAACATCGCCGATAAAATCTTAATTCCCAAATAGTAATTACTTAGCGATGTAAAGAGCAGAGATTGTATCCGCCCATATGACGACCGCTAATTATCATTATCCAATCAGAGCGTCGCTTTATACTACCCTTCACCTGTAAGCGAAGCGATAGACCGCCTACTCTAAACAATAAATAATGAGAGCATCGGCCCGAAACGGTATAATTGTGTGATAGTTTTGCGAGTTTAATACGGGATTTGGCGATAATTATACATTGTTTTTTCCCCGATTATCTAAACACGTGCAATCTTCCCAAATTGATATACACGATGCACTTCGATGGTGGGTTTTTAACCCGAGTAAAGTCGATGTGCAATGGATTTTTCACGGCTATCACAAAACTGTTAGTCAATTAAAAATAATCAATTTCATTAATGATCAGCGACCGGATTAAAAACTTAATCATAGTTTTGAATGATTTCAGTCTGTTAACATCAATTTTTACTGTAAAATTGTTATGTCGCTCACGTCATGGCTACAAGGCGAAATGCCGAAACCGAGCAGTAAGAAAGTTACTGATTCTGATAGTTACACCTACGCGAAAATTTAAGAAAGCCATGCGATTGGTATGTTGTAGACAGTGGGGGTGTTAGGCATTGTTCTCTTTGTAGAAATGCCAAATTTGACACAGTTTACGCACGTGGGCAAGACATCCCGGCTAAACTACATATCGGTCGTATATCATGTAACGTATATAACAACAAAATTTGTCAGGAAAGAAGTGTTCTTATTGTTTCAATATATATATTTGTTTTAATGTCGTAAATATGACGCTCAGATTAAGATTTATCAATATTGTAAATTTTAAAAAGCATTATTTATAAAGATATTACCTAATTTAACATTTCATGAAAATAAAGGGAGGTAATTAGAAATTAATTTTCTACAATTTCTCAGTCAAATTTTTCAATAAGAAATGAATGTATGTAATTTTAGTGATCAAATATAATGTGCACAAATGTTTGCAGTACATATTTTACATATTCTTTGATGTTTGAAAATTGTTTTATAAGCATAATTATATGCATATAAATATGACATTACAACATTCAGGACTTTGAAAGAAATTTCTGTTACCAGAACAGAATAGAACAGATATTATTAATCAATATCCAATGTGACATCATCTTCTATTAAAAGTGAGGAAAGTAAAAAATATGAAATTGATTTTATCATCATATCTTTTCTTACACATTATTATCAACAAATGTACATGAAAATATATAAACACATATTTAGAGAAAGCTTATAAATAGCTGATCAATAGATATCAAAAATAATTTTTTATATTCATATTTGCAGCTCAAAAACATTTAGATACCATTGCCAGATCTACTACTAATTAATCTATTATTAATTAATAAACTGGAGAAATATTATAAGTGATGTTAATTGTGTTTATATTATAATTAAAGGATGTATAGCCATGCATGTTAATGCATTGGGTTGTTTCCCTTCTCCCTAATTTTCGCGAGGAAGTCACTTCTCCCTAAAATTTCCCCCCAGGATGAGCCCTGCTATACATTTCAGGACTTTCTTGGCCAGAAGAAATACACTTTAAGCATATCTTTATTTCTATCAACAGTTCACCACATTTAACCACTATATATTTCAGGACTTTGTTGGCCAGAAGAAATACACTTTAAGCATATCTTTATTTCTATCAACAGTTCACCACATTTAACCACTATATATTTCAGGACTTTGTTGGCCAGAAGAAATACACTTTAAGCATATCTTTATTTCTATCAACAGTTCACCACATTTAACCACTATATATTTCAGGACTTTGTTGGCCAGAAGAAATACACTTTAAGCCTATCTTTATTTCTATCAACAGTTCACCACATTTAACCACTATATATTTCAGGACTTCAATGGCCAGAAGAAAGCGGAGAAAATGTTTCAGTTGATCATTATTACGTTTGCAGTAAGTATATAAAATTGTTTTTCCGGTATTTATAGAGATATTAGAAAATTTAGCTCTGTAGATGTTGATCTGGCATCATTTATAATTTGACTAGAAAGTCCAACCGTGTTACCTTGTAAAGAACACTCTAATAAGCAGTTCTTAGTAAGAAAATCAAAGTTTGTTCGACTTGTATTGAAAGATTCCCAGAATCTCTCAACAATTTAATATGAATTAAGTATATTGACCTCTTAAATTTAGTCAGTAGTGATGCAAGTGTTAATGTATTAAAGTTGAACTTCCGTAACATACACTTACTTAAAGGTCCTTGTTTCGTTTCAAACACTTAATTAGTTTTCCCTCACTAGAACTGGAGGTATAAATAGACTATAAATATATTCTGTATTGTTTCATACTAAGTATTTCAGAAATTTTATCTTGGAAAAGTGCATCATATCACTGTTAGGCCCTCTTCAAAACAGTGTCCTGAGAACTATTTATAGTGCATCGGTGACATTGTTTCTTAAAATAGAATATCTGGAAACAAATTGTAAGCTTTACTAATTAACATATAGAGAGCAGACCGGTAGATTATAGGTATCAAGTGGATTCCTTATTGTTTATTTATTTTATCGATGACAAATTTCATTTTCTACTTAAATAACTCAATTATATGAAATGATTTATCTAAAAATAACATATTTAACCTTTAGAAAAGCTGAAGGTTGCTTTAATTTATCAATTGATACCTCACCAAACTTTGTCTCTTGCAACCTTAAAGGATTGTCCGGTAAGTTTCCCAAAGCAAATTTTGATGGCTCTTTAAAGTGTTTCCCCCATTTTGAAAAAATGTCATTCCCAGCAACTTGTAAATCATAATGAATAGGTCAGCATTAACCCATGCAACTAGTGTAGATGAAGATCACTGGCACATCCGTGCTGTCTGATCATCATCTTCACTGGTTGCTGTTCAGTCTGTAGGTATTTTGAAATTTTCCCCCTAAAATGATAAATGTCTGTTGCCCCTGTCTTAAAAGTAATTAATACACTTGTTACAAATGTACTATATATAGTAACAAAATTGCCTATGATTTCAACTGATTATGAGTGTCACGTGACCTATTATGAGTTTGCGGCCCGGGGCCGAGAACTAGTTATCAGCCCGCAGAACATGTGCACGTGCACAAACTGAAACAATGACGTCATATTTTACGTCATCAAGCAGTTAACTGTAAAAGTGAAAGTAGTTTGTCAGCACGAATCACTTTATTTTTATTGTGAGAGCTTAAGAGTATTTAGTACAAACACATTTTTGTTACTATTGAAGAAGAAATAATACTAAATTCATTCTGAAACAAATGAAAATAAAACTTGCTTCTAGATTCTACTGCTTTGAACACACAAACAGTAAACATCTCTGTACAAAACAGTAGAAGTGTAGACAAGAATTTCAACGAAAGAACTTCAAAGTATTTGTTGTTGTTGCTTTTTTAAATGCTACTATTAGATATACCAAGTGTATTAAAGACATTAATACACGTCAGAGTAGGGCCGGAAGATGATAAGGTGAAGGTATTAATCTCTTAATACATGTTTCACAAACTCATCTGTATAATGTATTGCAACATGTTTCTGATGCAGCGTTTAAGTTTTCATCAGTGTTGATGATTATGAATTTATAATTTCAGACTGTTGGATTTATATGGGGTTATATTTGTCAGCAGTTCTCACAGACCATGTATATTCTTATAGCTGGATTTGTTATATCATGCCTGGTAAGTTACTGATACAGTTAATCTATTTTTGTTACATATTTGTTGACTTTGTTTATTTATATCATTGTTAACTTGGCAAGTTCTACTGGAGGTTTGTAGTCGTAGTACAGTATTAAAGGTTTGTCCAAGTAAGATAATCTCCATTCATTTAGCTTTTCTTGTTTCTTAAACTATGTATTATTTCGGAAATATATATAAATTTAAAGTGCATTGATGTAAAATTTTTGCATGATTTTTTATCCGTAAAAGACAAGAGTTAATGTCCAACCTTGATGTAATACTATATTTTATGCAAAATAGTCAAATCTCAGAGTGGGTCATGAAACCCCGCCCCCCCCCCCCCCCCCCCCCCCCCACACACACACAGACATCCATTGGATTGGATTTGAGAGAATGAGGCAGGAATAAGTAGTCCCGTTAAATGTATTGATTAAAATTTAGGTACAGTATCTTGACCATGCTGGTGTGACTTGTGACCAAACATTTACCATGAACAATATCATGAGTTTTAATATGTTCAACTATTCAATATGATAATGTATAATTCATTTTTGACAGTTAACACTTCCACCATGGCCCATGTTCAGAAATACTCCATTAAACTGGCAGAAATCTCGTGTAGAAGCAGAGGAGATTGGAAGCACTTCAGCACAACAGTCCTCACAGAAATCAAAGAAAAAGAAATAATGCGTGCAATAACTCTCAAACATTTATTATGACATTTTCATGATATGACCATGTTTATTATTTCTCTATTTTTGGTAATGGATAAAAGTTGTTTTTTATGTATGTTTCAAAGAATGATGATGTCATTTATTTATTGTTAGTCATTTTAATATTACATATGTTGAAGTAAGATTACCATTATGTGTTTTTAAGAGAATAAAATCAATTTTCTAGTCTTCACATATCACTGTAAACTCTTTAAATGCTGGCTGCAATTTTAATAGAGCTATACCAGGAGTATAGAGCCAGGCTTACCTGTATTTTCATGCATTCCAGCACCAGGTTCTTAACTGTAGGACACCCAATTTTGCTATCTTGATGTATAACCTTTATTAAGTCTTTCCTTGCCGCTCACTGCTGTAGGTTCGAGCTGCGCAAGTGTCGTCAGATTATACATGCGAGACAACTATCCAGCTTGCTTATGGAATGTTGGTGGTTCTACTCAGATGCCTGTTTGTGCCTGGAACAGTAATGTACAGAGTGGCACCTGAGGTCTTTCTTCACCAGTAAAGCTGGAAAGTTGTCATATGACCTATACTGTGTTGGTGCAATGTAAAACCCAGCCAAAAGAAAAAAAAAACATCTTTCCTGTTTTTACCCAATTTGACCTATACTTTGTTGGTATACTGTAAAGAGAGAAACAAACAAATATAAGCTGTATAATTCTTACAGACTGAATTGAATGTCAGCCAAATTATATGTATTACACAAATTTAAGAAGTTGCTGGTTAAACCACTTCAAAGTAACATTTCTAGGAGAATTTATAAAGTTATACATAGTGTCTTCATGTAAATTAAAAATGGCCATGTGTATGTTCAAAAGTAAATTTAATCAGGCTGTCTATGTTTCAAACCATTTCCTGAATTTTTACTGCAACAAAAATATTTCATGTAAATTGATTAAAGAAGACAATTTTGAAGATTGATATTTAAATATCACAATAAGGAATCTATCATAGCATACATATTATTGGCTGTATTAGATACAGTAATTTATTTTGTTAACATTATTTTATCTTCATAAAATGAAAATTATCTTAAGTTTTGAGATTTTGATATGTTGGTATTAAATGCATGCAAAGAAAAACATTATTTTGGTGCTTTAATTGCTAGTATGTGAGAACAATGTTCTTGTCTTGAAAGGTAATGGATTGTTGGTACACTTTTATTAGATCTGATGTAAGCTTACATTGAATGTTAGTTCATAGATTAAATTTAATGTTGATACATAGCTTACATTGAATAATGGTTCATGGGAATGTAAACATTCCTTCTGAATGTCAGTTCAAATTAAATGTTGGTACATCTGCATGCAAACTTTCATTAAATGTTGATAGATTTGAATGTAAATCATCATTGGAAATTGGTACATTTAAAACTTATCTATCATTCATCAAAATGAATTATGACAATTTTCAAGTTGTGATTGTTATTCTTTTTCTGTCTTTTTTACACAAAGATGACTTTATGATGGTAAGGGCTTGATATCGGAGAAAATAAAACTTGATATATGTATTTACTTACATGGATTAAAACTAGATGTAAAGTTGATATAGTTTTATCAAGATAGAATATAGGTCACCTCGCGTTCCCAAAAAGAAGTATTTCGCATACGTAACTTAATATAATAATCAGTTCAATAAAAACAAACGCTTTTCTTAAGCTTTCGACGTTTAGTCTTCTTCAGAAAAAATGACGTTTATAAAATGACAAATGACGCAACGTCCGTTTAACTATACGCTAAACAGAACGTGACGTTAACGCGGGAATAAAAAACTTTGTCAAATAAATACAGAATCTTTCATGAATATAAATACAGCAATATACAATAAATTACACATAAAATATGGATCTGCACATGTGATTTTTTTTTTTTTTTGATTTTTTTGCATACGTAACTTAAGTAATTCTTGACGTGTATGAAGTGAATCTTAAATTATGTAATTTTTGTTGTTATTTTTATCTGTAAAAGTAAATGTTATGAATATTGTATGTTTTAGTGTTACTAAAGTATTTGTAATGTAAAATATGAGATAAAATTATAAATCATTTGTGACTTGTTTATTTTCTTTGCTTGATCTCAAATTATGCCTTAATTTGTAGACTGGTCCCAAATATTGCCTTAATCTGTAGACTGGTCTCAAATATTGCCTTAATCTGTAGACTGGTCTCAAATATTGCCTTAATTTTAGTGTGTAGACTGGTCTCAAACATTGCCCTACTTTGCTGACTGGTATATGATTAGAGAATGGAATCTGTTATGTTGAAATAAATTATGTCTTCAGTCTTTTTTAAAATAGAATAATACATTTTCCAATCATGAGCCTCTTTCATGAGGCTTAACTATTACAATATGACATAAATGTGTACACATATGACACATAAAACAAGATTCAAAAAGAAACCAATCTTATGGACAAGACCTTCTAAAATATTTTACTGACCTTGAGCTTAAAATGACCTTGACCTTCAAATTATTGAAGTCATAATTTTGTTATTTATGTACGGATTTGATTCATACTTTGACAAAACAAGACTTGTGGCCAAACGGACATGTACAATAATTTAGATGCGTGCTTGACCTTTAACCCATTACCACTGGAGCATTTTGTGAAAAATGGCTGTTTTCATTGAAAAGCCTCCTGTTACAAGTTATAGTTATAGCTATTAAACTATAAACAAGAAATGTACCCAAAGGACATGGGTGCCCGTACATTTCACTGTTTTGTTGATCTACTGATTCTAGGTCATATTTTTTGGGTTACATGTGACACAAGTTGAAAATTACAAAATCTTTTACCAAGTTAATGACAAAAACTTTACAAATACTGAATAAATCCACAAGCATACTCCAAGGTGCAGAACTACACATGCTGACCAACATTCTTGTATACTTTCAGGACTACAGGTCAAATACTTTTTGAGCTCTTCATGAACAAATCTACAATTTATACTAAGTCAAGGGCAGTACTTCTAACACAACTAAAAAAAATCATCATTCCTGTAAAGTTTGTTAATTCTAACTCAAGATACACATAACAGAACACTTGGAATGGTTTTTACTTAGTCAAGGGCAATAACTCTGAATATGGCTGAATATACTGAATAATCCACAATCAAACCCCTGGTGCACAACTACATAATGCCAACCTCTATTTCTGTAAAGTTTCATGGCTAGGTCAAATCCTTTTTAGCTCGACTATTTGATAAGAATAAGTAGAGTTATTGTAGTCACCTGAGCGTTGGTGTTGGCGTAACCACTTATACCTGAGTCCTCAAATATTTTCAAAGTTCATTGACATATGGCTTTGAAACTTTGCACACTTGTTAACCATCATTACCCCAACCCTAAAGACAGGAGGAGGTAACTGTATCAAGCATTTTGACAGAATTATGCCCCTTTTTTTACTTAGAATTTTCGTTTAAGTTTTTGTAACACCTCAAATATTTTCAAAGTCCATTGACATTTGGCTTTGAAACTTTGCACACTTGTTAACCATCATAACCCCAACCCTATAGACAGGAGGAGGTAACTGTATCAAGCATTTTGACAGAATTATGCCCCTTTTTTTACTTAGAATTTTCGTTTAAGTTTTTGTAACACCTCAAATATTTTCAAAGTCCATTGACATTTGGCTTTGAAACTTTGCACACTTGTTCACCATCATGACCCCAACCTGTAGACAGGAGCAGGTAACTGTATCAAGCATTTTGACAGAATTATGCCCCTTTTTTTCGACTTATAATTTCGACCCCAACCTGTAGACAGGAGGAGGTAACTCTATGAAGCATTTGACAGAATAATGCCGCTTTTTCAACGTAGAATTTACATATAAGTTTGCATACCACCTCAGATATTTTCATATTTTATTGACATCTGGCTTTGAAACAAGTTGAAATTTTATACTCTTCTTTGAGAGCATAATAGGACTCTCTCCAAGGCCTATAACTGTTACATGGATTTAAAGAAATTTTTTTTGCCCTTTTGTTAACTTAGAAAATTTTACATTATCAAGGCTCTTTTACTATCAAGCACTTAGAAAAGTCATGAGTTGCTGTCCTACCGACAGCTCTTGTTGAGATATACATGACACAACTTGAAAATTGCAAATTTTTACTAAGTCAAGGGCAATAACTCTACAAATACTAGATAAATTCACACACAATCAACTAGGTGCACAACTACACATGCTGATGAACATTCCTGTAAAGTTTCATGACTATAAGTCAAATACTTTTTAAGCTATGTGCGACACAGGTTGAAGATTGTCAATTTTTACTATGTCAAAAGGGCCATAACTCTGACAAAACATAATAAATCCACAAGTGAAATCCTAGGTGCAAGATTTCACATGCTAAGCCACATTCCTGTAAAGTTTCATGACCCTAGGCTAAATAATTTTTGAGCTATGTGCGACACCCATTGCAAATTTTGCTAAGTCAAGGGCAACAACTCTACAAATACTGAAAAACTCCACACACAAACATCCAGGTGCACAACTACCCATGCTGACCAATATTCCTGTAAAGTTTCATGACTAGGTCAAATACTTTTTGAGATACGTGCGATACAAAAGAGAAATAGCTCGATAGTTTAAAGCAAGCTCGAATTGCACGTTTAATGGGCTTATACAGATCTTGACAATAAAACAAGCCAATTGAACTGAACAAAATTCCTAAATATTTGTAAGATGTTATATTTATTTCTATAATAAAGATAAATTGGGATCAATTAGGTGAGGAATTATCTGATTCCTCCGAGTTAATCATAATTTATTTATTTCTAAAGAAACACGCGTACAACAACAACAAACACAACTCCTTTACATCCAAGCTTGATTAATTGATACCCTAGACGCGCCTCAATAGAAAATCCGTCGCGCTACGTCAGTCTAATCGGCAGAGATTTGGGATTTCCCTACAGTACTCTTTCGATGTAAACAAAACAAAATCGGTACGTTACGATACCGAAATCAACTTGATTTCGGTAAAGTTACCGAAATCAACTTTTCATTACCGAAATCAACTTATAAAATCTCAATTAAGCGTTTTATTATATTTTTTTCATTATAATATATTACAATAGGTTAAGTTTGACTTTCATGCAAAATATCAGTTCGAGATAATTATTAATAATGAAATTAGAAACAAATAACTAAATATCAAGATTATTCCCTGATTTGTCACGAGCCGAAATATACGTTACAATACCGAAATCGACTTGTAAAATTACAATTAAGCGTTCTATTATATTTTTTTCATTATAATATATTACAATAGGTTTAGTTTGACCTTCATGCAAAAAATCAGATCGAAATAATTAATAATTATGAAATTAGAAACAAATAACTAAATATCAAGATTATTCCCTGATTTGTCACGAACCGAAATATATGTTACAATACCAAAATCGACTTGTAAAAGTTAAAATAAACATTTTGATAGATCTTGTTTAATTAATTAATATAAAATCATTCAAACTGAACCATAAACAAAGGAAAATAATATTTAATTATAAAAATGATGATGTTATAGACGGATATGTATATTATATCATGATTACTTCCCTTGTTATTAATGTGTTGCATTACCGAAATCAAATCAGATTTCATTTCAAAGATGAGAACAACCCCTAAATAATTTGCATGAATTTCAGAAGTCTATGAAAAAGGTATTTGAGTGAGTTTTAAATTATGAATTCATATCGCTTATTTTTAATTTTTAGATTTTCCCTTTAGTCAGATAACTTAGCAGCGTATCATCTCTTTGATGTTTCTTAATGATTTCAAAATACAAGATTAAACAAAACTGTGTTTGAAGTTATCCGCCTAATTTAGATCACTATTAAAATAGTTGATTGGAAATTATCACAGTATTTAATTTAAATCTGTGGCCGAGTTGTTAAGGTCGTTGACTTCAAATCACTTGCCTCTCACCGCTGTGGGTTCGAAGCCCTACAGGGACTTTGGATTCTTTCATGTGAGGAAGCTATCCAGCTAGCTTACGGAACGTCGGTGGTTCTACTCAGGTACCCATTCGTGCCTGAAATAATGCACGGAAGGGCACCTGAGGATTTCCTCCACCAGTAAAGCTGGAACGTCGCGATATGACCTATACTGTGTCGATGTGACGTAAAACCAAAAAAAAAAAAAACAACAACAAAAACAAAATCCAGTGATTATGATTTGATTAAAATAAAAAGATGTAGCGGTAGCCAATTAGCCATTCATTATAACACCTTTACTAATAAGGAGCAAGCATACACGTGCTATATGCTTGATATGACATGTTGTGTATTACTGTATTAAGTAAGGTGCGAAGTAATTAAGACAGGATGTATATAAAGATAATAAGTCGGTATTATTATTATATATGTATACCGACAATAAATAAATTTTGATTTGATTTGATGTACAGTTGACATACAATTTAATAAAAGATTAAAATGAACCATCTGTTTATTTCGTAATAAACATTTAAATAAATGACTAAAATATAAAAATATTATAGTAAAGAGTCCCCATAACATGCGTTAGTGATTTGTTAATATATAGTTTAACTGTTCAATAAAAGAAAGACACAAACTTTCCAATTTCCAATTTTACTGCCTGATACATTATACTATTTTTATGGAACATTTTTAGTGCAGGCGAATTATATATCTGTATTCAACTTTATAATAGAAAATCATAAAGTTCCGGTTGAAGTTGGATATTTTCTTCATAAAACATAAACATGTACAAAATTTATAATTATCTTTAACTCATATTACAGAGTATTTTATTTTTCCATCATAGTCCGATCATAGCTTTTTGAAAATACGATTTGATTAGAAAATTGTTATGCACGACAATCACGTGCAGATATATAACATGCTAATGTGGCGGTATCAGACTTTTTCTTAAATCATTATATACATTGCATTCTAATATGAAATGGTATTCGTCTTCTAAGACATTACATGAAAAGCAATTTCTATCATTTAAAGGTGTACTATTTGATTTAGTCCATCTACCTGATTCTATGTGCAATCTATGAGACGATACTCTTAACCTAGTGAGATCTTTACAAAACAGTTCAACGCTGATAATATTTAGATATGGTTGAAACTTAAAAACAGAAATATGTCTATAAAATAGAGCTCTACTAGAGTTATCTAATCTATTATGTACTAATTATATACAAAATTTAACTTCACAGCTGATTTCGGTAATGCTAAACACATAACGGTTTGTTTATAACAAAGGGAAGTAACTTAATAATTACATTTTTGTTAATAACATCATTAAAATAGAATATTTTCAATATATTTTTTAACTGAAAGTCTATTTCACTATTTTTCATCAAATAATGAAGAAATAATAGCAATATTTTAACTAGGTTGGTTTTTACGAGTTGATTTCGGTAATGAAAAGTTGATTTCGGTAACTTTACCGAAATCAAGTTGATTTCGGTATCGTAACGTACCCAAACAAAATGGCGGACAGTGTTAATTGCTGTGTGAAGTTACTGTATAATTTATTTATTTTCTACAGCATCGCTGGCTTTATCTTTTGTAGTGAGTATCTATATTTGCTGAGTTAATATTTTGCTTTTAATTTAATAAACTATTTGTTCTAAAACGCTGTATCTTAACAATAAATGCGTATTTTTAAAAAATATTTTATACTGTGTTTATTTTGGCAAACCTAATTTCTGAAATTTCTGTGTTACTGCACTGAAATCTTATTATTTATTGTGTTTTCTTATCTTAAATTTCTTATAAATAAATGTTTATCCTACAGAAGCCGGCAATGGTTTCAAATAATGACTACAAAAGAGAGAAAAAATTAATATATTAGGGAAGTAGATCAATTCTAATTGGCCTTAATTAGCTAGTATTTTGCTAAGGTGGTTGTCATTAATTTGAATTTTCTTAAAACTTGAGGCTGTCATTTTTGGTTTTATCGCATACTCATGGGTACAAGTTTTCAGGTATTTGCCTGAAGTTAAGGTTTTTGAAAGCACTTTTAGGATGTTCACTAGTCATGAAATCATGAGGGTCATTTTGAAAAGTATTGACCACTTTTACCAACTACAATACCAAATCCCCATGATTTTAACAAAATTTGACCCTCAAGTTAAAATCCTGAGGCTCAAATCAGATTTGATATAAGAATGGATTTGATTATTTGTAAGCAATATAATTAGTATAAATTTTGCTTTCTGTGGAAACAAATATTCCATATTTCTGATTCATTAAGGCAAAAATCTCTCAGAACCCAGCTTTGGGATGAAATTGGCTTAGCGGTTTATGATGAGATATCATTTAAAGAAAAAGTTTACGGACGGACGCCGGATGAAAAGCAATCACAAAAGCTCACCATATTTTGACAACTAATATTTTGTAAATTGAAATTTTATTAACTCTAAGACTGCTAATGGCAACAGAAATTACTCCTGTGACCAGTGCAGTTCAAAAACTTACTGGCATATCAATGCCATCTGATCATGATCCTCAGTATTTACTATTCAGTCGGTAAAACTAAATACTTTTGAAATTTTCCATATAAAAAATGAAAAATGGTCATGCCCAGCTAGTTTAATCAAATAAAGCTATTTAACATAACAGTTATTGCTTATACATATTTAATATTTATAAGCAATTTAACTGTTATGTTTATTAAATAATTTAATAATTTAAAAGCTATTTTAATTGGATTAATTAATTGGATATGACATTCATTTATCTTTTTATATGTAAAAAAATTAAGATTTGGTTTTAACAGAATTTATTTTAGTTTGATTGTGTAGGAAGCTAATATATGTGCTTAAAGACACACTTTCTAATCGGTTCCTGGAACCAAACACTACTGAGCAATGAATGTATAGTTTCTTGCTCAAGGAAATAACAACTTGCCCTTGATGGGGTTTGAACCCACGCGGCTAACCATCATAAGATTACTAGTCTGACGCATTAACCACTTAGCCATTAAAATTTTCAATTAAGGTTTATAAAAATAATTACAAATATGTGTCATAGAATTAATAATTTTGTTTCTAAATTCTCATAAATTTGATTTTTATAATTAAAAAATGTTAAAGATTGGACAGTAATCAATAAAGAATCTGGTGAGATTGGACTGGGCAGCAACTTTACAGGCAAGGTCTTATCACTATATTTGTCTTAATTCAATCATTGAGCCAATAACACAATCATTGAGCCAATAACACAATCATTGAGCCAATAACAATAAACATGATTGTATTTTCTTGACAATTTAGTAAAAACAAATTTTTCTTCATATTTAAGTGCAGAAGGTAACAGTCTCAGTCGCTTGCATTTTCAGTATCACACTGTCTAAAGATTGATTGTTATTTTTTTGACTATACAAAAGTGTTACTGTGTACGTGTATTTCTCTATTTTGTGATATAACATTGATGACCTAGATTTGAAGTGTTCATAGGCCACATAAATAGTACACAAGTAAAATTATACATCACATAATATACTGGTACATATAAACATGCTGGAGAATCTAGGTCAATCATTTCACATGCATTAAAACCTCCTGCATATACTGTATATCACTGCCAATTTTCTCACGAGATTGAAACATTTACTTCAGTCAGTTAGTTCTCTAGTAAACAATGTCATTATATTGTGTTTGTACTATTATATATAATTTAACAAGCATTGAATTTGACAACAGCTTCATTAAAAACAAACACAATATATTTTTAAATTATTTTTTCTTTAGACTTGTAAAGAAATAGTTAAACAATATTTTCGTTAAATATACAATTATTTAATTATTCTAGAGGTTAACTTCTCTTGTTAACTACACTACAAAAGTCAAGGATGCACAAATTATATTTGACATTATTTGATATGCTTTTGTTTTTATCAATGATTTTTTTCTGTTTTGTTATCTGAACATAAGGAAGTATGAAGTAGTTATTTCCGCTGTTTTGATAGATATAATTTGTATGCCTCTTGAATCTTTGTGCTTTTGCCTTTATTTTTCTGATAATTGTGCAATACTTCTTGTTTTTATTCCGGTCAAAGTTGTTAAAAATATTGTCTGATTCAAGTTTGTTTTGCTTTAAGGAAAACTAAAATATACTGAGTCAGAAGATAAAGAATTTTCATAGTTTCTCTTCCATTTTTTTTCCTGTTCATAATTATAAATAAAAAATAATGTGCTTTTAAAATTTTTTCTTAAATAAAGATCAGTTTAAAATCATCAGTGAAAATTGGGCAGGGTTCTAAAATTTAATGTTTTGATTCAAGAACAACCATCAAAGTACATTGCCTAATAGATTAAGCCTAATAAATAGGCTTGACTGAAATTTCCTGCTGTCAAATCGTTGGAAAAAGATATCACCCATCCAACAAAAGTCTTAAACTCTGACAAGACAAGGTTGTGTCTAGCCAGTGATTTTTTCCCCTGTATTTTACAGCCGAATAAAGGCTGTTTCCCCTAACTCAAAATAGGTATATTTTCCCCTAAAAAAGGTAATATTTTCCCCTGAAATGCCCTGTGGTAACAGCATCTGACTTATTATATCCGCTAGAAGACAGAAAGCTGTCCCTATAGCCTCTGCTATGTGCCATGCATGTTAAATTGAATTGAAATTGAAAATTTATAAAATGTGTGGGTAAATTCCATTCTCAGTTGTTGGAATTTGATTTTCCCCTTTTCTGATTTATCGCGCTTTATTTTCCCCTTCAGAAAGCCACAAGTTGTTTTGAAAATTGGGAAAAAAATCACTGCTAGCTATCAATTCTGTCATTCCTGGTTGAACTGTATAGGCATACAGTTGGTATAGGCATACAGGCATACAGTTGGTATAGGCATACAGTTGGTATAGGCATACAGTTGGTACATGTATAGGCATACAGTTGGTATAAGCATACAGTTGGTATAGGAATACAGTTGGTATAGACATGCAGTTGGTATAGGCATACAGTTGGTATAGGCATACAGTTGGTATAGGCATACAGTTGGTATAGACATGCAGTTGGTATAGACATGCAGTTGGTATAGACATACAGTTGGTATAGACATACAGTTGGTATAGACATACAGTTGGTATAGGCATGCAGTTGGTATAGACATACAGTTGGTATAGGCATGCAGTTGGTATAGACATACAGTTGGTATAGACATACAGTTGGTGTAGGCATACAGTTGGTATAGGCATACAGTTGGTGTAGGCATACAGTTGGTATAGGCATACAGTTGGTATAGACATACAGTTGGTATAGGCATACAGTTGGTATAGACATGCAGTTGGTATAGGCATACAGTTGGTATAGACATACAGTTGGTATAGGCATACAGTTGGTATAGACATACAGTTGGTATAGACATGCAGTTGGTATAGGCATACAGTTGGTATAGGAATACAGTTGGTATAGACATGCAGTTGGTATAGGCATATAGTTGGTATAGGCATATAGTTGGTATAGGCCAGAGCTCCAGATAATTTTTTTGGCCAAGGGGTTTTTACCCCTCAAAATTTAGAGTGAGGGGTAAAATGCATATTCTGAAAAACTTAAGGGGTAAAATCTGTCAAAAAAGCATTTGCAGTTTTTATGAACAAATTAAACTTACTGTTTTGTTTGTTCGTTTGTTTTTATTTCTTTTTTTACAAAAACCTTTACAAATTAAATACTGATTTAATGTGAAACAATACGAAACATGCCATGTAAAGTCAGACTTCCAGAGTATACTGGAACTCAAGTTTAGGATACACAGCAAAATTATCAGGGCTTCCATTTTCAAAATTTGGAAGTCAAAGACTTCAAAATCTCTGATATTGGAAGTCACATTTAATAGGTAAAGAAGGAAATGTATTGATTTTCGGAAGTCACAGGCCAAAATGAAGGAGTAAATGACTCCCAAACTTCCACTAGTGGAAGCCCTGAAATTATTTTATTTTCTAGGAGTCAATATTTTTCTTTCTTTATTTCTGTTGGCATGTACCTTATCATGTACTCCAGTTTGAACAATTATAGTTGAAATTAGAATTAAGATTTTTTTTTATCTTTCCTTAAAAAAAAGTATTAGTCTGAGAGAAAATTGTCCGTAACTGTAGACTGGGTACGAAAATATTGAGTACAAAACTGCAGGTGAAAAACATGTTATTTAATTCCAAAAACAAAAGTTAAAGAAATTGAAATATATTTTTGTTTATATTGAGGCATAAGCATGTCAATAGATGCCTAAACAAACTTAATACTGTGTTAACTCCTATGATGATTATCTGGCACAAATTTCATCAATAATTTCACAGGTTGATCTATGGGAGTTACCTCCCCTTCTGTATTTCCTGCTACTTTCGTTTTTAACATGCGTTGTTGACAACAGAATTTTTAGTTTTCAATGCAATAAAATTAAAATACATTGTATTTTTATGCTCAAAACATTTTCTTTCTACATATCAAATGTTTACACTTCTATTCTTTCACGCATAAATTTTGACATACGAGCGTATTTTCATTTTGTTGTGCGTAACTGTGACGCACGAATTTTGAAAGTGATGCGTATTTTAGATTTTCTATGCGTATTTTACGCTTATACGCACGCTATCTGGAGCTCTGCCTATTATAGGCATGCAGTTGGTATAGACATACAGTTGGTATAGTCATACAGTTGGTATAGGCATACAGATGGTATAGGCATACAGATGGTATAGGCATACAGTTGGTATAGGCATACAGTTGGTATAAGCATACAATTGGTATAGGCATACAGTTTGTATAGACATACAGTTGGTATAGGCATGCAGTTGATATAGTGATACAGTTGGTATAGACATACAGTTGGTATAGTGATACAGTTGGTATAGGCATACAGTTGGTATAAGCATACAGTTGGTATAGACATACAGTTGGTATAGACATACAGTTGGTATAAGCATACAGTTGGTATAGGCATACAGTTGGTATAGACATACAGTTGGTATAGGCATGCAGCTGGTATAGACATACAGTTGGTATAGGAATACAGTTGGTATAGACATACAGTTGGTATAGGCATACAGTTGGTATAGGCATACAGTTGGTTTAGGCATACAGTTGGTATAGGCATGCAGCTGGTATAGACATACAGTTGGTATAGACATGCAGCTGGTATAGACATACAGTTGGTATAGGCATGCAGCTGGTATAGACATACAGCTGGTATAGGCATACAGTTGGGCCACATAAAGACAATTTGTCACTCAAAGTTAGTCAGGTCAACAGCAAGAAAGGAGAAGACTTACACTTGGATGTGACAATAGCACAATGATTGTTGTGTCTGGTCATTTATATGTGTTGTTATTCATTCTTGGATTCTCTTTGAAATGATTTGGCATGCTGAGAATAAACCAACATTAATAATTTTATCAAATTTAAATATAAATATAATACCAAAAGATTTAATTAATGTTTGTTTACTCTTATAATACTCTTTGAATAATAACTATATGCCTTCATTGCAAGTGAAATAGGGCTATTGTTTCTTTACTGGGCTCAGACTGCATGGTGCATTTGTTGGTATCTAACAACAAGACGTCCTGTTGAATTCACACCATTTTGGATAAATCTAAATGTGAATGCATAATTATTGTTTCACAAAAGAAAACAAAACTGAAACCTTCATAAACATGTATTTAAATGAGGTATTCACTGCTATCCCACCAATGATTTTCCATGAATGACATACTACCGTATCTTGAGAGTTCCTAGAAATTGTAGGAGGAAAATTACACCGGAAATTAGGAAATTATGCACAATGAGGAATTTATATATGTAATTAATTTTCTCTAATTTCCTTATTCATTTAATTGATTGAACATCATTTACCAACATTAATTCAATAGGTTGAATTGTAAAATATTTAAGAAAACATCTATAATATGTAAATTTCAATTGGCAAGTCAAAACAAGATTTGCTGGAGTTATGTTTACATTTATTTCCTGATAAGGCAAACTTGTAAGAGTACATCATGATGGTTTCAAGTTAGTTTTGTTGATAGTAGTTACACTTAAACACAACTGAAATGTTGCTGACTAAGCACAGCTTGTTACAAAGAAGATAAAACTTTAATTTGCAAAAATTATAGGCAAGTATTGTTGGCCTTCATTTCATTAGATTGGCCTGTAAAATTCCTTGAATTTTTATACCAATTCGGTTTAAATCGCACACCTATTAACAATAATAATATTTAGTGGAAAGCCTGTTATTTTACAGTTTCCGTTTTAAGTATTTAACTACATACAATTCCTTTTTTACGGGATTATTTGGGAAATGTTTCTAAAACTGCTATAACAATAGTTTTTGGCTCTAATTTTAGGTCAAATTTTCCAGAAATATGATATATTTTCAATATTTATAGTGTTATTCATCTTTTTGGTATAATGCATGTACTTAATTTTCTCCGAGGTTTTTGACCGATATGCCAAATTCTGCAGTTCACTGAACTCGTGTTTTATTAGATAAAATAAACCAGAGAACTTGTGGGAACAAAATTAAATTAACTTTTTGTAGTCTTATACATTTTGCATCAATTATATACTGCACTCGGGGGTGAGGAAAAAAAGACATTCAGGTTGGCAAGATAGTTTGATAGATTGTATACTATACAATACAAATTTTGTACTTGATATGGGATCCCTATAAGTAATAAGAAATGAACTGTTTCAAATTTAGGGTCTGCAATGTTTGTGCCTCTATTATCTTGAATATATGTTGAAGTAAGACAGATTTTCATTTACTTAAAGAAGTTTAAACACAATCATACAGGGCACATCTAATGAAATTAACAACAGAAATTGTCAACATATTTTTCAATGAATGAAATGAGAACCTTTCACAGTCCACAGACCAAGTGCAGACTGGATTTTTTATCTCGAGGGTAACTGTTAACAGTGCTTTTTAAAAAGGCTGTGTTGAGTTTTAACTTAACAGCTACCGAAAGCCAGTGATTACATGTATGTGTCTGTGACCACAGGGAAATTTGTCCTTATTTTATTAAAATTATATTGTATATTTATTGGGAAAGGGAAAAAATGACAGAAGCCCCTGTATCTGTGACTACAGCCAGTGTTTGATTTTTTCTTACATTGTATTTAAAAAAGAACATCACAAAAACTTTGGTTTTTATTTTATTCTTTTCCTTATAATAGTGTATATATATTAATTCACAACTTCATTCATAATGTCGACACATTACATCATACACTTGAACAGCTGTTGATTGAACAATCCCTTGCCATTAGTGTATAATTAAATAGCTTTAAAACTTGTTTTTATCCGAGAGACTTCATAAGTGTAACCTAAAAAATAAAACAAACATGCTTCACTGGTTTCATTGAGGTTTCAATTAAAAACTCAAAGATGAGCCACACAATCGTACGATGTGAATGCCTTTATGGATGTAGCAGAGGTTCTGAAAGGGTCTTTAAATCTGTAAGCTATTTCTAAGAAACTATTTTTTAGCCAGAAAATGTTTTTAATAATGTTCTTTTACCTCTGAGGGATGGCTTTATTTCGGGTCATTTTAGTTAGATTATGATATTATTATGTTAATTACAATGTGTATCAATCCATGTGAGTTCAAAAAAAAATTTTGAGGCCCCAATAGGGTAACCCTTATTATTCACTCAGTAATAGGTATAAGATGGTTTGGGTTATATAAGCCTACCCCTCATATGAACATGTATATCACAATTTTTATATCACATTGTAATAGTTAGAAAGTTCAAAATTCTTGTCTTAAATAAATGTGTGATACATTTGGGGGACAAGGCTTACCACTAAAGCAGTGAATTTGAATTTTTAAATGCCATTCTTCCACATTTAAGTATTGTGCATATTTTTTTCTGATATTAAATTATTCATACACATTAATTCAAGAAACAGTGATTAGCAGTTTAAACTTATTCTTGGTCCTTAGCCTGTGATGTAATTGGTCTTGTGACAAAAAAAGGTGTTTCAAGTTCATGCGGTACATTTGAAATTTTTTATTTGGTTTGACATTGCATACTAGCCACTAGGCCTGGATTATGAAAAAGGATAGTATCAGTTCATTTTAACCCTCACATTTGTTAATCATTCTTTTTATGGCAGACTTACTTGACTGAATTAGGAACAGTGTATCCCTCGTTTAGAAATGAACATCCATCGCGTAAGAACAATATGTGTTGAAATCATAATTTAATCATGTGCAGGAAGTGGCCAAACCACTTCTGGTGAAATTTGATAATAGTATTAGTATATCTTAAACCATACTTGTATAAAAAAAAAACTATTTTTGAAAAATGTTGCCTTAGAAGTGTGTCTTCCAATATATATTACAATGCTTTTAAAAACAAAGAACTTTTCTATATACAGATTTGTAATTATGATTGTTCAAAGAGTTACAGATATGCATGTGTTTATTAATGTAAAATACACTGAATCAATTTATTTAAACAGTTAACAAGTATTCCTACATACATTATGTTTCCTCTTCCATATTTCAGATGAGTTAGATAGATGCCCGAGAAACCTTCCGAGGGACCGGTATTTACGAGTACACAGGGATAAATGTTATAGATTTGAAACTAGAGAAGTGAGCTGGACCTCTGCACGAGACACATGTAGGCGTGCTGGTGGCGAACTTATTACTATCAGACGCCGAGATATACAAATTTTTGTCGAACAAACAATGAGCCAGATTTGGTCGAAAAATGGAATGTGGATTGGTGCACATGATAGAGACTCGGAGATGGACTGGTTTTGGGTTACTGGTATGTGCTAGAATGGGCTACATGTCTGTTGTATCAGTTTTTGTCACTATCCAAGACCTGTAACACTTGACTGAATTAACACTCTTGGTTTGAACTTTTAAAAAGTTCTGGTTAATAAGGTTTTGTAACCAAGCTATATCTAAACTACAACAGAAGTTTTTTATTATGTCTTCTAGTTTATTATTGTTGGTCACTGTTTTAGACCCATAACTATTTACTTTGCCTGGATTAATTTCCTTTGCAAACTTTGAGAAAACCTGCATTTAATGGTTGCCTAGTGGTTAAAGTCTTTGATATGCAGTCACTTTCCTTCACCACTGTTTGTTTGAATCCTGGCAATGGGTTCCTTCATGTGAGAAAGCTGTCCAGCTAGTGTACTAAACATCAGGGGTTCTACTCAGATGCTGGTTCGAGCCTGAAATAATGCGAAGAGAGGTACCTAAAGTACCTTCACCATTAGATATTGAAAGTCGCCACATGACCTTTACTGTGTTGGGAGGACATAAAATCCAACCAAACATTTTCCTGTTTTGAAATAGAAAGGAGAAACATACATGTACATGTAGCCATATACACAATTTTTTTAATTACCAATAGTCATCTACTGTATCTAGTATTACCCACTTATAAGGTGCATTGTTTTATAAGGCACAGCCCCAGTTATCTCACAGAGGGATTTTATGTACATCCTGAAGAGTCATTTTTTTGCTTCAAGACCTGTATGTGACTGAGTGAAAATAAACATGAAATTTAGAATAAGGTTTATCCAAGTTGCCTTCATTCAAAACTTAAATTGTATATCTTTGTACTTAAAAAGGTGAAAGGACAAAGTCAGGGTTTCAGAATTGGGACAGAGGACAGCCTAGCTGTTTTCTACTAAAATTTATGTGCCATGAAGATTGTGCTTGCCTGAGGAAAGATGAAGGTTACAAATGGCATGATTATCTGTGTAGCTCGTCTATGTATGAGTACGGCTATGCTTGTCAGTTTAGTAAGTATAAATATACTTAACATTTCTTAGATGTGTAAATCAATACAGAATAACAAAAATTTTCACGAAAAGAAAGAGATCTGAAAAAGGCTTATTATGAATCAAGAAAGCGGTATAAAATATAAGTTTTTTGGTATCACAGTAGCAGTACAGAGTATAGAGATATAAGTCATCGTTATATGACAAGGTTCATGTACAATCTGACCCGACCATCCATCAACACTACCGTAAATATCAACATAAATGTGTATGAAAATATGACTGAGTGATGGCAAGCATTCAGCAATTTAAGTACAAATACTCCTGGTAAAGAATAAATATTTACTGTATCAGTAATATGAAATATTTTAATTTTTAGATCACCAGATTTATAGTGTAATCTAGGGTCCTTTGGTCTGTACAATAGAATACAAAGTAATACACAGAGAATATTAAATGAGTGTAATTTCAATATTGAATTTATTCAACAAGTTGAATAAAATTATATTGTGTGAGCATAATATTATTTTATTCAACTTGTTCAATAAATTCAATATTGAACTTACACAAATATAATATTCAATTTATCATATACCAAAAATAAAGACCGTTTAAAGTGAAAATGAATCATTTCCATTGAGGGGCCTATAGTGTAACGCTTACATTTAGTGTGTCTGTAGACTAACTCACTTATTATGCTTGTATAACGCAATGACGTCTAATCAAAATATATGCACGGCCGTGCAATACCATTACGCTGTTGTAAAAGTGGCACGGATGTGTGATAAAATGAGATATAATATCATGCAATACAATGCTATATATTATACTAATGTAATACAATATCATGCAATACAATACATTTAACTGACTCTTTTATTGCAAAGTCCTAAATTCTCCTTATATTTGAGACATTAGACCCTGGGAGCTGCTTGCATTAAGATTATTCAGAATTTTTAAACAATTTAGCAACCATTTAAATTACTTTTACTAAAATTGGTCTGTAAGATTACTTTTACTAAAATTGGTCTGTAAGATTCATAAGGACTATCTGCTAAAAATAATATGTGTGAACACCATCGTACATTGAACATATGTCTAAATAATTTTATTCTTGTGAGTGTGATGCAACGTGATTGGTAGCCATCTTGTTTCTATTGTGTTCATTTGTTTGGAAAAAAAAATAAAGATATCATATTTGGTTTTCAAATTTCTGTTTAGAAAAAGAGGTTAAAATAAGTAGACATAGAGGATCTTGTAACCTGCTCCACATATCCTAAAATGATCTTTGCACTGAATACTCTTTGTATTCATTGTTAGCATCCAAAGTTCATATAAACATGTTTCACCAACAACAAAAACAAATCAGGAAGGAAGTTATATATATATTGATATTGTCACCTGAGTGCAGTAATAGATTAACTCCTTATATAATGTAATAGGAGTTAACTGTTTACTGCACTAAGGTGACAATGTGATTTATCACAAGTAGGTTAAAACTGTGAATGAGAAGTTATTTAGATGTTGGTGGTTGTTCTCTTTTATTTATATGGATTTCCTATTTTGGAAGCATTTTTACCTTTGAAATTAAGATACAGCATCAAAACAAATTTAGATACTGAGTTTTGTTAACCATTTACCCTGCTTGTATGGAAATTATATCATTTTGCTTTTGCCACCAGTTAAGAACCAGGCAGCCTGCACATCATTGAAGTCTGACCAGGTTCTATACTGTTGGCTGACAAACTTCATTATCTTGATATCCCCAGAATTGATAATGGCCTCTTCCAAAAAGAATTGAAAATGGCCTCTACCAAAAAGAATTGATAATGGCCTCTTCCAAAAAGAATTGATAATGGCCTCTTCCAAAAAGAATTGATAATGGCCTCTATCAAAAAGAATTGATAATGGCCTCTTCTTAAAAGAATTGATAATGGCCTCTTCCAAAAAGAATTGATAATGGCCTCTTCCAAAAAGAATTGATAATGGCCTCCTCCAAAAAGAATTGATAATGGCCTCTACCAAAAAGAATTGATAATGGCCTCTTCTTAAAAGAATTGATAATTGCCTCTTCCAAAAAGAATTGATAATGGCCTCTTCCAAAAAGAATTGATAATGGCCTCTACCAAAAAGAATTGATAATGGCCTCTACCAAAAAGAATTGATAATGGCCTCTTCCAAACAGAATTGATAACAGCCTCTTCCAAAAAGAATTGATAATGACCTCTTCCAAAAAGAATTGATAATGACCTCTTCCAAAAAGAATTGATAACAGCCTCTTCCAAAAAGAATTAATAATGGCCTCTTCTAAAAAGAATTGATAATGGCTTCTTCCAAAAAGAATTGATAATGACCTCTTCCAAAAAGAATTGATAATGGCCTCTTCCAAAAAGAATTAATTATGGCCTCTTCCAAAAAGGATACTGGACAAATACATTTAAAAATTCAGCTGGTAGAGAGTTAAATATGTTATTATAAAATAATATAACCATGTGTGGGAAATTCGATTTTTTTAAAGTTTGATATTTTTCCAGATTTGCTCCCACCACCTCCAACAACAACAACTTCTACGACAATAAAAACAACAACAACAACTTCTACTACAAGAAAAGCAACAACAACAACAACAGAACCTATCACTGTAACAAAATTACTACCGACTGCTGAAATAACTGTCGGAAATATGATAAAAGTGTTAACAACTGTATCTGATGTTGAGCCTTCAACTGTGTCTAACGATTCTATTTGGATTGGTCCTGGTAAATTAACTTGTAGAAATTACATTATTTTGTATATAACATATTTTTAATCATTTGTAATAGTACATACATAAAGCAGTAAAAAAATCACTCTACATTCCATACATTTTAACATTACAAGCTTTATTTGTTTATTTGTGAGGACACTGTAGGATTTGCTAAAATTGATTAATTTTTGGCGTCCGCGCCGAAGCGCGGCGCCTTTTATGTAATGAAATCAGATTTTGTGAAAGGGCGACAGCAACTTCTCGAGCCTTTTATAGTTGTTCATAATAAAAGCCGATCATTCCGATCGGTATGAGGGTGCTTGATTATTAATTAGTCACGATATGTACAATGAATAGCGAACTGGAGAATTTCGCAATGCAAACATTTTCAACTGAAATCACCTTTTCCGTCAATAAATCACGCTCTTCGGGGTATTTTTATTTATCACCTTGCAGCAAAATCGTGACCGGTCCATAACTTTGTTACTTGAAGTTGGATTTTAAAAATATTTCACAGAAATGATCACCATATTGAGACGACGTGTCGCGTGCAACATTTGGGTCGCTACCTTGAAGGTCAAGGTCACAGCATGACCTTGCAGCAAAATCGTGTCCGGTCCATAACTTTGTTATTTGAAGTCAAATTTAAAAAATATTCCACAGAAATGATCACCATATTGAGACAATGTGTCGCGCGCAACATGTGGGTCGCTTCCTTGAAGGTCAAGGTCACAGCATGACCTTGCAGCAAAATTGTGTCCGGCCCATGACTTCGCTATTTGAAGTTGGATTTAAAAAGTATTTCACAGAAATGATCACCATATTAAAATGGCGTGTCGTGCGCAACATTTGGCTCGTTACCTTGAAGGTCAAGGTCACAGCATGACCTTGCAGCAAAATTGTGTCCGGCACATAACTTCCTTATTTGAAGTCAGATTTTTAAACTATTTCACAGAAATGATCACCACAATGAGACATTGTGTCGCGCGCAACATTTGGGTCGCTACCTTCAAGGTCAAGGTCACGGTATGACCTTGCAGCAAAATCGTGTCCGGCCCATAACTTTGTTACTGGAAGTCGGATTTAACAACTATTTCACAGAGATGATCACCATATTGAATGGACGTGTCGCATGCAACATTAGGGTAACTACCTTGAAGGTCAAGGTAACAGCATGACCTTGCAGCAAAATAATGTCAGGCGCATAACTTCGTTATTTGAAGTCGGATTTTACAACTATTTCACAAAAATGATCACCATATTGAGACAATGTGTCGTACACAATATTTGGGTTGTTTTTAGCTCGACTTTTTTTTTTTTTTTGAAAAAAAAGTAGAGGTATTGTTATAGTCAGGTCGGCGTTGCCGTTGCCGTCTCCGTTGCCGTTGCCGTCCGAAAACTTGTACCTGGATCATAACCTTTTTATTTCTTGGTGTATTGTCTTCATACTTGGCCAAAACAACCCTTGGGACAAGACCTTTCAGTAGACCACACTAACCTTGACCTTCATCCATAAATGACCTTGACCTTCAAGGTTAAAAGTCCAATTTTTGCTTGTTCATGCTGTTATTGGCTGTTACTTTGTTATTTTTAAATGGATTGTCTTCAAACTTGAACATAATAATCTTCAAGGATATCCCTTAAAAATAACCAGTCAGACCTTGACATTCACTCATCAATGACCTTGACTTTGAAGGTCAAATTATTGAAATTTTTCATTTTTTTTGGCTATTATTGGCTGTAACTTTGTTATTTTTGAATGGATTGTCTTCAAACTTGAACATAATAATCTTCAAAGATAACTGTTAAAAATATACCCAAAGACCTTGACCTTCACTCATTAATGACATTGCCTTTGAAGGTCAAATTATTGAAATTTTCATTGTTTTGGCAGTAACTGACTGTAACTTTGCTATTTTTGAAGGGATAAACTTCATATTATAACAGAACATTCTTAAGGACCAGACCTTGTTGTTTTATCAAACCCAATTTGCTTGGGCTCTTTAATGACCTTGACCTTGAAGGTTATATTACTGAATTTTCTCAGATTGTGCATTTATCGGTGTGTGTGTGTATGTATAGTATATGTATTATATATAAATATATATATAAATGTGTGTGTGTATATATATACATATATGCAGGTATATATATATATATATATATATATATATATATATATGCATGTATATATATATATATATATATATATATACATATATAGATATATATATATATATCAAATATATATATATCAAATATATATCTATATATATATATATATATATATATATATATATATACATATGAATATAATTGCGTCATGTTTTTCTATTTTAGAAATTGCGTCATTTTTTCTATTTTTAGAAATTGCGTCATTGTTGCTATATTTAGAATTTGCGTCATTTTTTTTTCTATTTTTAGAAATCGCGTCATTGTAGCTATTTTTAGAAATTGCGTCATTTTTTTCTATTTTTAGAAATTGCGTCATTTTTTCTATTTTTAGAAATTGCGTCATTGTTGCTATATTTAGAATTTGCGTCATTTTTTTTTCTATTTTTAGAAATCGCGTCATTGTTGCTATTTTTAGAAATTGCGTCATTTTTTTCTATTTTTAGAAATTGCGTCATTGTTTCTATTTTTAGAAATTGCGTCATTGTTTCTATTTTTAGAAATTGCGTCATGTTTTTCTATTTTTAGAAATTGCGTCATTTTTGTTCTATTTTTAGAAATTGCGTCATGTTTTTCTATTTTTAGAAATTGCGTCATTTTTTTCTATTTTTAGAAATTGCATCATGTTTTTCTATTTTTAGAAATTGCTTCATTTTTTTTCTATTTTTAGAAATTGCGTCATGTTTTCCTATTTTTAGAAATTGCGTCATGTTTTTCTATTTTTAGAAATTGCGTCATTTTTTTCTATTTTTAGAAAATGCTTCATTTTTTTTTCTATTTTTAGAAATTGCGTCATGTTTTTCTATTTTTAGAAATTGCGTCATTTTTTCTATTTTTAGAAATTGCGTCATGTTTTTCTATTTTTAGAAATTGCGTCATTGTTGCTATTTTTAGAATTTGCGTCATTTTTTCCTATTTTTAGAAATTGCGTCATTTTTTCTATTTTTAGAAATTGTGTCATTGTTGCTATTTTTAGAAATTGCGTCATTTTTGTTCTATTTTTAGAAATTGCGTCATTTTTTTCTCTATTTTTAGAAATTGCGTCATTGTTGCTATTTTTAGTAATTGCGTCATTTTTTTCTATTTTTAGAAATTGCGTCATTTTTTTCTATTTTTAGAAATTGTGTCATTGTTGCTATTTTTAGTAATTGCGTCATTTTTTTGTCTATTTTTAGAAATTGCGTCATTTTTTTTCTATTTTTAGAAATTGCGTCATTTTTTCTATTTTTAGAAATTGCGTCATTGTTGCTATTTTTAGAAATTGCGTCATTGTTGCTATTTTTAGAAATTGCGTACTGTTGCTATTTCTAGAAATATGCTTAATGTTTCTATTCATATATATACAAAATATATAAACAAAACTAATGTGTCAAGACAGACCAACTAAATTTATAAAAAGGAAACATCAATATATGTTCAAACCTTTCTATGTTTGCGTTTAGAAAAAGTAAAAAGTCGAGCGTTGCCCCCGCCCGGCGGTGGCTCTTGTTACACTTTGAACTTTGTCTGTGACATAACTGTGACACAACAAGAGGTATACCTTCCTGTGTCCAAAACCTATTCGGGGAGCATCACCCGGTTCAACCGGCTCTTGTTTCATTTGTTATTCGTGTTTAGTAAAGATGCCGAGGAATTATTACAAATCAAGTACAAAAAAGTTACAAATCAGATTTTATGAATAATTCAATTGATTGATAATTTAAAAAATGATAAAGAAAAATACAAATGTACATGTATACTGGTCGGAGAGATAACTCCGACGCATAGATAACCCCGACACTTCATAAATATAATTGTTTTTGCTTTGTTTTTCAACAAATAAGCACATGATCACCTAACAGTATAGGAACAGGACAGAATGTGAAGTTTTGTTATAATTTGGTAGACTTTTTAATGTTTTTCAAATAACCTAAACTTTTTGTAGGCAAAAACTGCTTCAAAACGTTCTTTTTACTAAATTACAGTAAGGTAGTTAGAAATGTATTGACCACAGGCCACTGACTTGGGAAAGATTTTTGAAAAATTGTTTAAATATTTACAAAAAATAGATAAACCATATAAGATGTAAAAATAAATTATTGATGCTGATTTTCCAGTCATTTTTTACTTAAAATTTTAAGTGTCGACTTTATCTACTGTTGTGGGTTTAAAAAGACCATGTTTTGCATACCTCATTCAAGACCTTAAAGAAGTACAGATTCCATTTTCATACATAGTTTTTGTGGTGTAATGTAAAATCTTTGAACTGAACTTTGTTTAGGTGGTTCAATATTTAAAATATACTGGAAGATAATTAAAATATTGCAAAAAATATGTGATTTAGTGTCGGAGTTATCTCCCGAACCAGTATGGTTTAAGAATAAACAATATTATATATTGAAAGATTAACCATAGTTTACTGACTTTTTCCAGTTAAGTTTTGACTTAATTATAATCGTCGGTCAATATGACAATTGAATTCTTAAAACAGTAGTAAACGTAAAAACTCAGTATTAAAATAGCGCATAAAACAAAAAAAGAAAACAATATTCATAAAATCTGTATTTTTTATTAAAATAAATATTACAATTATTGTATAATAAACAATTATGCTCAACATGATCAACATGGTAATATAACAAATGTCATATTGTTACTAAGTGTGAACAGATACCTTAAGAGGGGGTCTTCGCTCATAGCGATAAAATAATAAGGGACAATTACACAAGTGTGGTGCTGATCATACTTTACACATATAGATTATAAATGATTGTATACATGTATGTCCGTTGCTATTAATAACCACGATCATAAAGAAATAACAAGTAATATTCTAATTTCTAGCATGCCAATCAAAGTTATAAGTAATGAACAATGTCTTTCGTCCGTTCATTCATAAGTGATGTACAATTCTGGTAAAAACCAATGAACCATTGAAAAGTTTATAAGAATATCCTGTCATCATATATCTACTAGTTCATCTACACTTGCTGCATTTCTTGCTTGGACGCCCTTTGATGCTTTGCATCAATGCTTTTCTTGTGTATTATTTTAATGGTTCATCACTACATAAATTTGTATTGGCCAAATATTGTTGGCATTCGATATATCAAATTGCATTGACCGAATCTTGAAAGCATTAGATAAGTAATTATGCCCCCACTTCAAAGAAGAGGGGGTATATTGCTTTGCACCTGTCGGTCCGTCGGTCCGTAGACCAAATGGTTTCCAAGTGATAACTAAAGAACGCTTAGGCCTAGGAACTTCAAACTTGGTATGGTGATTGGTCATGACCAGCAGATGACCTCTATTGATTTTAGTTCAAAAGGTCAAGGTCACATTGACCTTGTAAGTAAAAACGGTTTTCGATCAATAACTAAACAACGCTTAGGCCTAGGAACTTCAAACTTGGTATGGTGATTGGTCATGACCAGAAGATGACCCCTATTGATTTTGGGGTCAAGGGGTCAAAGATCAAGGTAACATTCACCTTGTAGGTAAAAACGGCTTCCGATCAATAACTAAAGAACGCTTAGGCCTAGGAACTCAAAGCTTGGTATGGTGATTGGTTATGACCAGCAGATGACCCCTATTGATTTTGGGGTCAAGGGGTCAAAGGTCAAGGTCACATTGACCTTGTAAGTAAAAACGGTTTCCAATCAATAACTAAAGAACACTTAGGCCTAGGAACTTCAAACTTGGTATGGTGATTGGTCATGACCAGCAGATGACCCCTATTGAATTTGGGGTCAAAGGTCAAGGTCACATTGACCTTGTAAGTATAAACAGTTTCCGATCAATAACTAAAGAACGCTTAGGCCTAGGAACTTCAAACTTGGTATGGTGATTGGTCATGACGAGCAGATGACCTCTATTGATTTCGGGGTCAAGGGGTCAAAGGTCAGGTCACATTTACCTTGTAGGTAAAAATGGTTTCTGATCAATAACTAAAAAACGCTTAGGCCTAGGAACTTCAAACTTGGTATGATGATTGGTCATGACCAGCAGACAACCCCTATTGATTTTGAGGTCAAGGGGTCAAAGGTCAAGGTCACATTGACCTTGTAGGTAAAAATGGTTTCTGATCAATAACTAGAGAACGCTTAGGCCTAGGAACTCAAAGCTTGGTATGGTGATTGGTCATGACCAGCAGATGACACCTATTGATTTTGGGGTCAAGGGGTCAAAGGTCAAGGTCACATTTACCTTGTAGGTAAAAACTGTTTCCGATCAATAACTAAACAACGCTTAGGCCTAGGAAATTCAAACTTGGTATGATGATTTTTAATGACCAGCAGATGACCCCTATTGATTTAGGGGTCAAATGTCAGGGTCACATTGACCTTGTAGGTGAAAACAGTTTCCAATCAATAACTTTAGAATGCTTAAGCCTAGAAACTTCAAACTTGGTATGATGATTGGTCATGACCAGCAGATGACCCCTATTGATTTTGGGATCAAGGGTCAAAGGTCAAGGTCACGTTGAATACTTAGGCCTAGGAACTTCAAACTTGGTATGATGATTGGTCATGACCAGTAGATGACCCCTATTGATTTTGGGGTCAAGGGGTCAATGTCATATTGACCTTGTACTTAATGACGGTTTGTTACCAATAACTCAACAACTCAAGTTGCCTTGGTTGATATTTTTATATTTAACTAAAAATGCTTTGGGTATACACATTTGAAGGTCTTATGTAATATGTCACTTGGCTGTCATTAATGAGGCCTACATGATTCATAAAATTTATGCATATATTATTTGTAAGATTTATAATAACTTAAATTGCTGCACACAACCTATGGGGTCACAATAATTATTACCTTGTGACTAGTCATGACCTGTAGATACTAGATAACCCTTATTAATTGTTTGTTCACTGGGTCAGAAGTCATGCATAATAACCTGATCACATGACTAATTGACTGCCGATAGGAGGCATACATGTTTTACAAACATATCTTGTTTGTAATGTATTGGACATATGTTTTTATAACTGATTTTCACTGCGTCAAGGCACAAAAGTATTATTGCATATCAGACAGAATTATGTACTGTTTACACCGATGCTAGAAAAACTTGTCTAATCTAACATTCTCCTTGTAAGACTAGTCGCATGTTTAAAATGATGTTGTTCCCACGCGCCTTTTATAAATGAATTGCGTTCTTAGGATGACGTCATCTTGCCTTTATTAGTGATGTTGTAAAACCATATGCTGCTATAAGAAAAAAGTGTTAAATAGAGGATATTGAATGAGTGTAAGTTCAATACAGAATTTATTGCACGAGTTGAATAAAATTATATTATGCGAGCCTCTAGGAGCCTCTGGCGAGCATAATATTATTTTATTCAACGAGTGCAATAAATTCAGTAATGAACTTACACGAATTTAATATTCTATTTATCACATACCCAAAATAAGACCATTTAAAGTGAAATAAGAGTCATTTTTCATTGACGCGCCTATAGTATAACGCTAACATTTAGCGCGTCTTTACACTATGTTTGTATTACGTTAATGACGTCACGTCAAAATATATGCACGGCCATGCAATACCATATTTACGGAGTCGCAAAATCGGCACGGGTGTGTGATAAATGAAAATATTAGTTTAAGAAATTTCTTTTCAAAATATTATTAATTTGTAACTCACTAAACTGTTTAGTGGAAATTTGGCAGAGCCTTGTTACCGACGTAATCAGTTACCTTTCAGTTAGATATTTCCGGTCTGTACCCGCAGCTGGTGTAAGATCCCTATAATTTGTATTGGCCAAATCTTGTTAGCAATGAGAATAATTGATTTGTTTTAGTCTAATCTTGACATTGATTCAGCTCATTTGCATTTGCTAAATGAAAGAAATATATTTATGTTGGTTGTTTGTTGGAGACACGTTAGACGGGTGCATGTATGTATTTTGGGCTGTGTATTATTTATAATTTGCTGTGTTGTTTTTTACAGGCAAAATGATCAATGTTGAAAGTCAGAGATTGTCAAAAGAAGAGTCAAATCTTAACACAGGTAACATTTTAGTCAATTTTTCATCACGGTTCAGAACTGTTCACTATATAGGGGAGAAGATGTGTTAAGCAGCCAGATAGCTCAGTGGGTAGAGCGGTGGAATGGTACTCTGAGGGTCCTGGGTTTGAGTCACAATCAGGGTGCACATTTTTCTCACCCTGTGACAGTTTCATTAATGAACTAATGATTTTAAATTTTGAGATATTTATCTTGAAACAAATTTGTGAAGTCTAGGTAGATGATCTGTTTTTGAAGCATGTCATTAGCTAAAATTATAAAAAGTTTCAGGTTCATTGTTGTTTTGCAACATTAGCTTAATTAAGGTTCTTGTGTAAAACAATATTGTATACCCATTTTAACAAGACATTACATAGGGTTAATGCCTAAAGGTTGTTACTGATCTGAAAGAAATGTCTTGCATCTGAAGTAAATGAATCATATTACATGAACACCAGCACATAAAAAGAAGACTAAGATATCATATTACCACCAACAATCCTTGATGTACATGTAATATAGACCATCCAAATTGCTGTCAGTGAAAACTTTAAATAGATAAGATGATATAGTGCCATCAAGGATCTTCAATAAAGACCATCCAAATTGAAAAGATTATATAAACATTATTTCATTTGATGATATTAGCCTCAAAGACTTCAAAGAAGGACATGATCATGATAAAAATTTAATGAGATGAATTGGGGAAAATTCAATATTAAATGTTTTTTCTACCCTTTCTAATTTTAGTTGGACTTGTGGTAGGATTTGTTCTTGTGTTCATTGTTGGACTTGCTGTTGGTACTTTCTTTTGTAGAAGGTAGGATATTTAATTATCAGTTATACCTTTGTTAAAGACTACTGCTAGAAGTACTAATGGAAGGTGTTTTCAAAATTTGAAAAATATTTATTGATATTTTTAGTTTTTACTTGAAAATTCTGTTATACCAATTTCAAAGCAGGGCATGTCCATTATACAAACAGGTAAGGCATATCCATGATGCAAATTAAGAGGTGTAAGGCTTAATAGATGATGTATGATGATAAAAAAACCAGCCGGTCTGCTTCTACCTGATTCACATGGTTCTTTAGGCCTAAATTAATCTTTACATTTCATCAAAAAGACCTTAATTCAATCTTTGCCTTAAAAATGATCCTTAAAAGTCCTTGAATTTTTGGCTTTAATTTCTGTACAAATGGTGATGCTTTATACATGCTTGAAATAAAAAAAATTGTACAAAAGGAATGTTCACAATGCTGTGTGGGTTCAAACCCTGTCAGGGGCAAGCCCTTGTGTCCTTGACAAAGAAACTTTATACCCATTGCTTAGTAGGGGTTGGTTCCAGGAACAGATTTGAGAGTGTGTCCATATCCTTATATGTCATGACCTTTTACACATAAAAATTCTTATTTTTCTTTTATTTATTCCTTTCAAAACTTATAGAAAATACAGAAAAAGGTATGAAGAGTCATTAAATGTTGGATTCAATAATGTATTGTACACTGCGGCACCTGTTCATGAAACACAACGAAAGGTCAAGGACACAAATACATTGACTTTATCTGCTGCTGCTGCAGGAGATTGTACGTCTGATGATGAAGATGATCATAAGTATGTGTTGCCATAGTTACCTTTTAAAATAAAGTGGTGTTATGATTGAAGGAAATTTTAAGAAAAGCTAATGAAAAGGATGTATCTATATTTCTTATTTATTTCCTCTGATATATTTCTTTGCTGATAACTATAACCTTTAGTATTTTATGAATTACGTTTTTTTTCCTTCAAAAAATTACATGTAATAACATTTAAATTAAATGCTTGTTTCTTCAAGTAATTTATGTTTATTAATTATGGTTGTTTTTAAGGTATGTTGATATAGATGAGGTTGCAGTTGGTGGCAAGTGTGTAGAGTTACCCCCCTGTAAAGACATTAACAGACCTGTTGTAGTTGCTTGTGTGAAAGAGAACATCTATGACACAGTCACAACACATGAGGAGGCGGGGCATGATCATGATATGGGTGGAGCCTGTAGTGAGGATGCTCCACCTCTCTGCCCTGGAGGACATGTTAAGCAATTTGCTCCGGAGTTTTTGAAGAAAGATACCGATGTGTCACAAGCTTATTCTAATAATTTATATGGTTATAATAAATAACTTGGAATGTTAAGACACATATTTTGTAGATTATGTCTTCCCCTATATCTAACATTGGATAGTTTGAAAAATCAGAAGAGTCTAGATAATCATGGATAGAGATTCATGAATGTACTGTATTTTGTTTTATAGTTATTTTATTCAAATTACATGTATCAGGTAATTAAGACATTAAGTTGGTCAGGTTGTAAATATGTAGATGATTTCATATAATAATTAGTATTTTCATAGCTTGATTTTTGACTATTTTTGACAATCAGAATCATTGGTACAATGTAGACATTTTTTATGAAATTACAAACAATATCAGGGTAGTGCTTGTGTGATTAATCATGTAATAAATTAACTATAACCACCTACAATCTGTTTCTAACTTACATTTGGCATCTACGAAAATCATGGTCACTTACAAGCCAGTATAACCATGACCAGTCTTACTAGATTGTTTGTAGTCTTACAGGATTATTTGTCGTCTGCTGCTCAACTATTTTTTAACCATTAACCTGCTGAATTTCTTAAATGGTCTCTTCCAGCTTTCAATTTTGGAACTGTCTATTATTAAATTTAGGTAAATCAAGATGAAATTTTAAAGTTGGCCAACATTATAGGGCCTGATCATACTGCAAGGCTCTTTACTGATGACAAAGACAACAGGTTAAAGTAGATCATTTTACTATTAGAGATTTTAAGAAGAAAAAAGTATATTATGTCAGTAGAATAAAGGTAAACTTCAATATATTGCTTGTTACAGAATATTGCATTTTTGTTGTACAAGTATTTAGTTTTTTGTTACTTTTAAATGATGTGGGTGAATATTCAAATTTTAAAGTTTTACATTTTTGTTGTTGTTTGTAATTTGGTTGTTATTGGAATTCACCTTATGTTAGACCAGGTGTGTTCTTTTTGCAGTAAGGTAATTATTCAATTGTTACAAAGTGTCCACTAACTAATGATTACACAATGCATTACATTTAAAGTAAGATCTAATTTCAAATACATTGTATTAGGACTTCATTTCCACTGTCATGTTTTTTTCCATGACCAATGAAAATAATTTTGTCAAAAGGAAGAAATTAACCATTGTGCAATATACAACATTTTATACTGACTGTTTTCTTATACTTACATACATGTACTTGTTAAATAGTTCATTCAGATATGTTAATAGAGATGTAGAAACTGTTAGGATATAATGGATATAGTGTATTGTTGTAGCTAAGCAATTTTAGATTATAGTGGTACATGTATCTGAGATTGTGTTTACAGATGCATATATTAAAACATTATATTTTCTGATCTCGGTGGACATAATTATAACAATAAGTTATAACTTTGTTTATATCCAGCCCTTCAGATACATTGCAATCTCAAGGAACAGACCTTTATAGGGCAATTACCTCTTTTTTTTTACAACAGTTTCATTTCTTCCCAAAGTAACACTAAATGCTTATCTTTGCTTGTATTAAGCCAATTAACAGATCTTTTTTTGCTGATTTCCTACATTTCTGATTACAATGTGAACATTTTGACAAGTTATTTTTTGTTGCTAAATTTACCAATTTTTAATCAACATTGGATAATTTGTCATATTAAAATACATGTACATGTGAACAAAAATGATGAGATAAGATACAAACTTTACTACCTTAACCATTCCAAATTTTCCATCTTATTTTCTTTTCATGTCTAAAACATTCCCTTTATTATGCTCATTCAATTTTATTTTTCATTTAATAATGTCAAGCATACATTTCTCTCTCACTTAATGTTATCTGTCCATTCACTTTTAATGGGGGTGGGGCGGGGTGATGAAAATTTGCTCTGCATTGTTTTTTTTAACAAGATATAAATATTGCATTCCACTAAGGGTGAGAGACAAGTTCTGGCAACAGAAAACAAGAGATGTTCAACCGAGACACATGATGTCAAGCCATGTGCATCAGTAAAGGTTGACATTATCTTGTCACTGGTAAAGATATTGCTCTATCACTATTAGTGGGATGTAATACATATTTCGTTACATGAAAAAAAGATCAAAATACCATATCAAACATAACAACTAAAAACTAAAACGAAGACACAAGTACACACGTTATGGGTGTGGGGGATATTTGGTATTTTTATTGGACAGACAGTGATGTTGCCATGTGACATTACAGAATGATACTCACTAACATAACATATTAGGGCTGTACAGTATATAAATCAGATGAGGTATATATATATATATCAGATTTTACTCTTTATCCATTTGTGCCATTGTAGCTTAAATCCATTTAAATCAAGTAATTCAAGTTAAAAGGAATAATGTGACAAAATCAGGATGTATTTTTTTAATATCATCAGAAATCCTAGAAATGCTATTAGGTCAGTATGATAATGTTCTGTAAATCTGTGAGCTTGTATATTTTGTTATATACCATGAAGTACTGTATGTTTAGTGTTTCTTTATACATATACATGTACATGTATTATGTTTTAATTTTTGAAAGTATTTCATGCAAATTAGGTGCTCATTCAATATAATTAACTATGTAATAATAATTATTGAGTGTAGGTTAAGAAGATATTTTGAGGAAAGTAATTTACATTACTAGCTATGTAACAAATATATATATTTGAAGTTTGGTTTATATTTCCAACTTGTTAAGTTATTTCTTTTTCTAGTCCTCCATGAAATCATAGATCAAAAATATTCTGAGAAATGTAACATGATATAAACAAACCTGCATCCATTTAAAACAGTAAATATATATACATGTATGTGTGTAACATGATAACAAGTGTCTTTAATTTTATTTTTGTTAAAGTCTTTAGATTATTCATTTTTTTATGCCCCATTTTAAAAAAAGGGGAGCAAACAGTGATTGGATGGTCCAGCTGTATGTAAGTCTGATTATCCTTGTCAGGTCAGTAATTTGAGAAGAAGTGAACTCTGTAGGGATATTACTTGTGGCCAGTAGATGACCCTTTAACATTTTTAGGTCATTAGGTCAAAAGTCAAGGTCAGTGTGACACTTAATTCTTTGTTCAAAAGAAGTTGGCCAGTCTTATGCAACTAAGTAGAGACATTGCACATGTTCATTAGATGACTTTTATTGATTTTGAGGTCATAAGGTCAAAGGTTAAGGTCACAGTTACACTGTAAAAGTCCTTGTTCAATCAGTACATTGAAATGGAATAATCCAGTCATATGTAAATAAGGAGGGACATTGCTCATGTCCAGTAGATAATCCCTATTTATTTTGAGGTTAAAGGTCAAGGTCACAGTGAGAATTCAATCAATTACTTAAGAAATATTTTGATGTGGTTTGACAAAATGCACAAGAAAATTGGCCATGGTAAGTAAATGATTCCAATTTGTTTTGAGGTTATTAGGTCATGGTCACTGTGACATTTTATATGAAATACTTTTATATAAATTATACTTGACCTTGAAATATGATTAAGCAATATGTGACAGACATAGTTACTAAGTGGTGGCATAAGATTCCTTTGGACACATTTCTGGTTTTTGAATTTATAAGTAGATAATTTGTATAGTAGTTTTTATTAAGCTGTAGTATTTTTAAGCTTATAACTTAGATCTGTATACTGCAAAAAAGTTTCAAACAACAAACTAGTTGAAAATCATCAACATGTATCTACTTGCCATTGATTTACATGTACAGGTTCACGTTCTGTTACAGCATATCAATAACATGTCGTAGGTCTCTTTGTTTCAGGGAATGCTGGGAAATATTTATACTATGACATTATGCAAGATGCTTTCAAACATTTCGAATTTTGTCAGGAATTAATTAAACTGCTTTAAATGCATTGCCATCTTTTGCAATCAGAATACAGTACATGTATATGGCCTAAACATGTTATTATGTTAACGGTGTTTTCCAGAATATAGGTTTAAAAATAAAGTATTAATATTTTGTTGTATATATTAGAAAATTGCTTAAAGATCTTGTTTAATATGATTTCATTTTATGACCTTGAGATCATTTTTTAAAGAATATGGCCTAAAGCTTAAATCTGTAACTATATGCAGTTGATGGAATAACAAGAATATAGCCTAAAGCTATCTTTAAGTACATATAGTTGATGTTATAAAATGAATATAGCCTAAGACTAACTGGTATTTTTAATAAATTGATGTTATGATAAAGTATGGTGTAAAGCTGGTATTATTACCTTATTGATGAGACTACAAAATATGGCCTAAAGATTATAATATTGCTGGTAACATCGAAATTTTAGATCTATATTCATTGACTACAGTGTTAAACCTAGACACATGTATTATGAATTGTTGTGTATTTTGATATTGATGCTTGATAAACAGACATATTGGTAACTAAAGAAAATTATTTTACTAATATAAGTAGATCTTTATTTTTCAGTCTGACTTGTTCAAGGCATAGTTAAATGTGCTGCTTTGTGATAGAATATTGTGTACATATAATATACGTAGCTAGATTTTTAGATAGTTGTATATATATTTCAGTGAATTGTTTATACTCAGTGTATTGTATATACTCTAATTTTAGATTTTATGTAATCTGTAATGACAATTAAATAGATGAGAATTCAGGGGCGGTAAAATTATTTGCGTGTATAGGTTGTCCCAGAGCTTGTACAGACAAGTGATATTTTTCCAAGAATTTACTCTTAAAATATCAAATGGACAAGTAAAGAAAAGTTTCAGACAAAACAGACAAGCAAGTCAGATTTTGCCTGGCCCCGAGTATGGAATACTTACAGTCAATTTTTTTTTATATATCATTGTATATTGCCATTATATAGAAATTTTATAAAGATAGAGATGTTGTAATATTATTAGTCATTCTCCATTTTATAAATTCGTTATATATTAGATTTGACAATTTGGGGGTTACCATTATTAGCTTATAATTGTCCATGACGCTTTTGTGCCCTAACTGTCTTCCCTATCTTGTCCCAAATATTGGTAAAGGTGGGTAAAAGGCAGACAGGGCTTTATCTATTAAACATCTCAGTACAGTCAAACCTGTCTAAAAGACCAGTGGTTTGAATATTAAAGCTTTTAATAGACATGTGACCGATGTAACTTATAAAAGAGGTCATTTCGGTCATTAATTGATAGATCAAAGCAGTGTATAGGCATCCAGTTAGCTCAATAGGTAGAGCGTTTGACTGTAAATTGGGTGTTCGATTCCCGGAGGGCGCAGCTCACTTACTTTGGGATTGATCATGAAATCTTTTCTACAGTCATTCGCACTGTAACTCTGCTACAGTATGTGCAGAAGTTTCAGTCCCTTGCAAAAGTGAAGGCAACTAGCACTGGTAAACTGCTTGACAGCCTGCCAAGGAATGATGCGGGGGCTGATCTGTGCTCTGTCGAATTCAATGGGGCTTACTGCCATGATCCAGAGTGAAAACTACCAACACTACCACATCAAAGCTGTGAATTTGAATGATGTCTTTCACTAAATGTTTTAATTGGTTTGAGAAGAGGTTGTTTTGCACAGGTTTGACTTTACTTTGTTAACGAATCTCTGTGCCAAATTTATTAATATTGTGATTATTTTGTATTGTAAATATTTGAAATATACTAGTAGTTATTTATACTTTAATAGCTAGTGCAGGGGCGTGCATGTAAGTTCTTTTGTCCTTAAAATAAGCCCAAATTAAATGATACATCTTTGATGTCTCACAGAAGTCTAAACTACAGACTGCAGTAATTAATGAGTTAGTACTTAACAAGACTTGAAATAATGGATTAAATTTTAAAATCGTTATTGTCCTCATACACAATTACTGATGTAATGGTTTACATAAAGAAAAGTTTTTTCTTGGGTTGTTGATTTTTTCCCCCAAAAAAATTAACTACAAAGGTATTGTAAGTTTATATTTGTGTCAATGTTTTATAAAAAAAGGCGAAAGTATACATCATGCCAAAGAGGTATATTACTGGTACTTTTTATAAATGAATGATGTTGTATACAATAATTTACATGAACATGTAGTTCAAATATTGAAAAATGTTTTTTTTTTCTTTTTGAAATTATTGAATATATTTGATGTTGTGATCTTGAAATATAAATCAAAGTTTTTGTTTATATAATATGTAAATTTATCCACAAATTTCAATTTACAAACTGCCATTTTAAAAAAATTCTTCATTTACATTATACATTTTTTTGTATCAGTCATCAATATGTCATTATTCATGTAGAAAATTAGTTAGAATAGATTCTTTATTATTCATTATTCATCTTCTTTATTCATCTCTGATGCTTCACTATAATTCTCTGATGCTTCATTATTCATCTCTGATGCTTTATATTTTTTCTCTGATGCATAATTGTTTATCTCAGATGCTTCATTATTCATCTTCTTTATTCATCTCTGATGCTTCACTATAATTCTCTGATGCTTCATTATTCATCTTCTTTATTCATCTCTGATGCTTCATTATTCATTCTCTGATGCTTCATTATTCATCTCTGATGATTCATTATTCAGTTCTGATGCGTAATTGTTTATCTTGGATGCTTCATTATTCATCTTCTTTATTAATCTCTTATACTTCACTACAATTCTCTGATGCTTCTTTATTCATCTCTGATGCTTCATTATTTATCTCTGATGTGTTGATGCTTCACTATAATTTTCTGATGCTTCATTATTCATTTCTGATGCTTCACTTTAATTCCCTGATGCTCATTTCTGATGCTTCACAATAATTCTCTGATGCTTCACTACAATTCTCTGATGCTTCTTTATTCATCTCTGATGCTTCATTATTTATCTCTGATGTGTAATTGTTTAGGTCGTTTTGGTACAACATAAATCTTGTTTTATTAATTCTGAAGACTGTTTAATATTCATCATTTGGACTTTTAATGTAATGTTGTAATTTAAACTATTATTCATTCAAGAAACAAAACTATTTATCCTAGCTAGACTTTGTAATATTATATTGTAGAATCCACGAATTTCAGTGCTTATCCTTTTAAGATCATTGTATTAAATATAGACTTCATAAATGTAATAATAGTTTGACTATTTGAAGATCAGTAAAGCTATTTGATAATTGTTCAAAGTTTCGTATTTTCAAACATCATATCTCATTAACTACCAAAGATATTTACTCCACGTGATCTTTCTGGATGATTTTGAAAAGGTCACTCTCCATGACATATGATTTTGACTGAATTTTATCCCATTGTGAACATAAAAAAATTCTGGTAAGATTTTGTCCAGCAAGTTTTCCCTTCAAAAGTCACTGACTATATTTTCTTGGAACTTTGCACATGTCGTCAGAATCATAATACCTGGGGCCGAGGTTATAAAGAAATATTCTAATCTCAAACTCATATTTCAGGTATTTGATTGGTCAAAAACAGGCACAGAATGTAAATTGACCAATGAAAATCCTGAGATTCGAGCTTGATCTCAGAAAATGGTTTTATAACCTTGGGGCCAGGTCTCTTTCTTTCAAGATCTTTAACTCTAGCATGATTTTTTTCTTGAATTATTTCCCTTGATAAATTTAGGAAATTTGTGTGATCCCCTTGTTTTACTATCAAGGACTGAAAATTGTTGTGTGCAATGATCTGTCAAACAGCTCTTCTTTTTGCCCTTTGTCATTATTATATATTTAGCTATAGAAATATATTAACTTGCATAAAATGATCATTATTCTTTAATTATGATAAAATCATGGTATTACCATTATCATTTTATCATGTTGATTTACTTGCTTTATTAAAAGGATAAATTTTTTAACCAAATAAATGGATTAAGCTTAAAAATGTGTTTGTTATGAATTTATGTAAGCTTGTGTCCACTTATGTTGAAGATGATAGTGCTGACTGGTTTTCCCTTATATTATTAGTTATAAAGATTTTTATCGGGTTATATGGCCCTATTGAAAATATATTGCAAACAACCATCTATATACAGCCATATGACCTACTACAAATATTTATAATGAACTATGTCTCCCAAAATTTTTGGAGACATATTGTTTTTGCCTTTGCCGTCTGTCCGTCTGGTTGTCCGTCCGTTCACATTTAGCTTATCCAGCCTTCACAGGTCAAACTACTGGTTGGGTTTCAACCAAACTTTAAAGGAGTGATCCGTACCATCCCTAGTTGTGCACATCACTGGCACATTCTGCTTCGCTGCACAAAATGGCCACCAGAGCTAAAAATAGAAAAATCTTGTCCGGCCTTCACAGGTCAAACTACTGGTGGGATTTCAACCAAACTTTACAGAAGTGATCAGTACCATCCCTAGTTGTGCACATCACTGGCACATTCTGCTTCACTGCACAAAATGGCCGTCAGAGCTAGAAATAGAAAAATCTTGTCCGGCCTTCACAGGTCAAACTACTGGTGTGATTTCAACCAAACTTTAAAGGAGTGATCCGTACCATCCCTGGTTGTGCACATCACTGGCACATTCTGCTTCACTGCACAAAATGGCCGCCAGAGCTAGAAATAGAAAAATCTTGTCCGGCCTTTACAGGTCAAACTACTGGTGGGATTTCAACCAAAATTTACAGGAGTGATCAGTACCATCCCTAGTTATGCACATCACTGGCACATTCACTTTGCTGCACAAAATGATCTTGTCCGGCCTTCACAGGTCAAACTACTGGTGGGATTTCAATGAAACTTTCAATGAGTGACCATACAATTTAGGAGACATTTGTTTTTGTGACAAAAACCCTTCTAGCTTATGATACAGCAAGTATCATTATTTAGAGAAAAAAGAACAATTTTTTCTTAAATCGACAGCAGTCCTGTATATAGAACTACATGTATATAAATGTTACAATTATCCAATGAAAAGAGACGTTACAAACATTCAGTATTATAATAGTTTGTATCCTCACAGGTGATCATGATTCAAGAACCTAGTCTGTTGTGTGAAAGTGAAAAGTAGGTAGTAACTTCTGGAATACATCTGTTCTATTGGGAAATCTACCATAATAAAACAGTTATTAAAGGGACTCCACTGAGGTTTTGTGACATGACGGGACTGGAAATAATTTTTTGAGATTATTACTCCATTTGATGTAGATCTATACTAATAACTTATGTGCAAAATATCAGATCATTAGCTTGCTCCGTTTTTCCAGAATAATTGTTATAATAGTGAAAAATGACCAAAAAATTGAAAAGGGTTTAAACGCTTTTCACTCAAATTGGACTGAGCATAGCACAAACATATGATTTTTGATATACAGTATGTTTTGTATATTTCTTGGTTATATTTTATTTGTAATTCTGTTTTAAGTGCTAATGTTGATCTATATGAGAAATTAAAATTTTATATTTTTACGCTTACAAACCTCAGTGGAGTTCCTTTAAGAATATGGGCTCAAAACTTTTATGTATGATGAAATGTAAAGTTATGCTGATGGGGTAATTGTTGTCCCGGGTTTCATATAATAGAACCCCTGTTCCCAGAGTATCTTTAAGTACCAGTATACAAGACAATTCCCACTCCATAAATAAAATTCATTGATATACTGAACTAAATAC